CTCTCTCTCTCTCTCTCTCTCTCTCTCTCTCTCTCTCTCTCTCTCTCTCTCTCTCTCTCTCTCTCTCACACACACACACACACACATGATATTTATACTGCTAGGTTAAATGCAAAGAATATGTAATTGATGGGTCTATGAACATACGCACCCTACGTACAATCCGCAGCTGCAACCCCTCTCCACATGAGAGATAAATGGGTTCATCAATGGTGGCCTTCGAAATATCGTATAACTTCTAAATTTTGATTATTTAGCTGCTCAGTTGAGATACTCTCACTGTAAAAAAACTAGAGAATATGTGTGAGGGACTGAGAACCAGAAAAGAGAAAAAGAAGTTTTGACATGTCGTATTCTTGCACCAAGGTGCCCCTATCATGATCATGGCTTTGTTCACTCCTGAAGGCAGATCTATCTATCCGACCGTATGGTGGTCGACTTGCAGGATACATGTAGCACAGTACATACAGGTGTGAGTATGCTCTCAGCGGTCCTGTGTGTATTCAGCTGTGTTTCCTGACTAGATACAGGACACACTAAGCCTTGCTTTCTAGACTACATACAGGGCAAGCAAAACGAATACACGGGTTTGATGTTGTCTAACATAAGTCTTCCGCCGGCATGACCTGTGTCCTCAGACAAACATGTAGCACTGTGTACTCGCACAACTCTTTCCAGATTTTTTTACTGAATTTGGCTGTCTATTGCAGTCAGGTACATCCAAGACCGAAAGCCCTAGCTAGTGTGATTATGCCCTTGCTTCCTCCCGCACCTCCCCTCCCCTCCCCCCTCCGGCACGACCTGTGTCGTCGGACAAACATGTAGTACTGCATACATCCACAACTATTTCGACTGAATCTGGCTGTATATTGCAGTCAGGTATATCTGAGAAAGAAAGCCCACTACCGTCTTCACCCGAATAGAACGCCCGGTCATTACCGCTGCATCTGGACCGAAAGTTGTGCCAAATACAGCTATAATGACCAGGCGTTCTATTCGGGTGAAGACGGTAGTGTGATCCTAAGGGGCTCCCCCCTGGCTTGGTCTACACCGGTAAAAGGCCGACTAAGCTTTGGCCGAACTGGCGGTTTAAGGGTTTTAGCCATGGTTATGATCCGGACGTCCAGATCACAATGCAAACGGTCCGGGTCTGAATGTCTGGGTCCGGTGTCCGGTCCATACATCCAGATCCCTTCCCCCACTCCCAACCCCCCAAACCCCCCCAAAAAAAGAAAATCTGATTTCACCAAAAAGTCAAAAAATCTGCAAAAGAAAGATATTTTATGCAGCATTGCAATACAAAAATCTTTTAGAACAGGATCAACTCGAAATTCGTAAGCCCAATCCAGGAGATACTTTTTTTCCTTTTTTCAGGGATGGGGTTTCAATACGGATGGTCAGATTGGTCCGGCCTACCAGTCCGGCATAACCATGGTTTTGGCCTTTAATGGTCGATGATAATCAATGGTCAGGAGCTTTAGGTCATAGGATACACAGTTAAGGGTCGGCACCTTACGGTTCAGAGTCATACACGGTTAAACCTTAAACCACCAGTACCTGGCCGTTCTTAGGCCGTTAACGCTGTGGCTGGTGGCTGAATCGGTGCGCCGCCCGGGTCCATATGCATTTGTGTCAGAGCCTTCCCAGAGGGGGCCTAAGACCCCCTGCCCCCTGGGGTACTGGTGGCTTAAGGGTCGGCACCTTAGGCTTCAGAGTTAAACACGGTTAAAGCACCAGTACACCACACATCGTCCCGCGGGTGTCAGCGGAAAACCCGCACACCACTTCGGAGGCCGTCGATTTTTTTTTTCAACGGCGCCCCACGCTGCGTGGCCTCTCCGAGTTTTGCTTGTGGCAACAAAAACTTTCTGCAAGGCTGCAGCCGTGTACATGCGGTTTAAGGGTCGGCACCTTAGGGTTCAGAGTTATATACAGTTAAGGGTCGGCACCTTACGGTTCAGAACTTCCAGAGTTAAGTGGTCAAGGTTGGGGCAGACGGGACTGGAGTTCACAGTTGATGGCAGAGGCTTTTTTGGGATAATGGTACAAGGTCCAGGGTTTCAGGATGAGAGTTCAGGGTTTAAGGTTCAGGAATTAGGGTTTAGGGATGAGGATTTAGGGTCGAGGGTCGAGGGTCGAGGGTTTAGGGTTTAGGATTTAGGGTCGAGGGTCGAGGGTTTAGGGTTTAGGGTTTAGGGTTTAAAGTCCGCATCTATGTTTCAGGGTTTCTGACTTATAGCTTAGGGTTCAGGGCTCACGGTTGCGGATTATGGTTTGCGGCTCAGGAAGTAGGGTATAGGGTTCGGTTCGGGGTTTAAGGCTCAGGAATTAGGGCTAACAGTCCAGGTTTTAGAGTTTGGGGTGCAGCAAGTAGGGTTTAGGGTTGAGAATTTAGGGTTTAGGAGTTAGGGTTTAGGGTTTAGGGTTTAGGCATCAGGGTCCAGGCCTAGGTTTCACAGTTTCCGACTCATGGCTTAGGGTTCGCCGCTCACGTTCGAGGATTACGGTTTGGGGCTAGCAGTCCAGGGGTCCTGAATACGTTCCAAGCTTTGGCGATTACGGCCTAAAGTTCGAGGTTAAGGGTTTAGGGTGAAGCACTCAGGCTTAAGAGCTTACAGGTTCAGGGCTAGGGGTCCAAGGATGGATTATAGCTCAGGGTTTAGGGTTCATGAATGATGTCTCACGGTTTAGCGTTTCCAGCTTGAAGTTCACGGTTAAGCATTTGGGGTTATGTGTTATGGGCTAAAGGTTTACGGCTGAGCACTTGAGGTCAGCATTTGGGGGGGGGTCGGGCATTTGGGACTAGGGGTTTAGGGTTGAGCACTTGGGGTCGGGCTTATTTTGCCTCATTTTTTTTATGTGCCTTATTTCGCCCACCCCTGGACTTGCGAACCATTGTGGGGGTTCGGGCTTGGCTGTCGTAGCCATATGCCTCGCATTTGAGCCATATTTTTCCCGAGGCGCAAAGGTTCTTCTGTTCTATTTTTCATTTTTCTTTCCCTTGCACAGCAGCATGTACCCTTCGTCCACCATAAGTTTTTCGGATCTTTTTCCAGACGAAGATCAGGGCGGAAAATCGCCGACGGTGGGAGCGAAACTGGTCCTTCTGTGTCACCTCCTTGGTAATGCCAACCTCCCGTAGGCCCCCAAGTCGATATACGGCTCCCTGTTAATCACACCGGGTCCAGGAGGCCTACCTCAGCAAAGCAGTGATGGTTTAAGGGTTTACAGTTTTACGTTCCAGGGTTTACGGTTCCAAACCCAGGGTTCAGGTCTTAAGGTTCTGGGATTTCACTTTCAGGTTTAAGGCCTAGGCGTTTGAAACTAGCATCTCGGGTTTAGGGTCAAGTAGTTAAGAGTTAACCATTTGGGATTAAGAGCACAGGGTCAGAATCTAGGGCTCGTTTACGGAAGAACAGAGAGAGAGAGAGAGAGAGAGAGAGAGAAAGAGAGAGAGAGG